AATTTTTTTTGACAGCCCTAAACGCCAGCCTTCTTTGATTTGATTGGCCATCTCAATTATTTTGTCACTAACAAGCACTCTTAGACTTCTGAGGTAGACCAGCATAAAAATACACATTTAAAAACTCTTTGTCATCTTAACAATAAAAAACAGAGCAGCATCAAGAATATCAAATAGTGAGGGGATGGATATATGTTTAACAGAGTCCAGTTAGTGCTGCCATTTCTACAATTCTAGCCAATCATCAAACTCATTTGAATCTACATGTATCCAAGTTTCAAACCGATTTTGTTACAGCTTTCGTTTTCAGGAAGGAAATGACCCCTCACTAGCTCCCTCTGCTCTAAGAACGCTGCGGTTCTTTGGACAAATGGCACAGCAGAGGCTAAAAACACTCAACAGGGTGTCTACCTCAACATCTTGTCCAAATGTCCCATTAGGCCCTCTAACAACATTCCATGTCCAATAATCGAATATCTCCACCCCTCCAACAGAACAGCTGCTGTAGGTCAGCACTTCAGCTCTCACTGACTGCCATCACTCCATCCAGGTGCTGCTCACCTGAGTTCCCTTCAACAAAATAAAGAGCTCTGGATGTCTTAGCAGAAACTAAAGTGCCTCTTTCATTCAGTATCATTATTACTGCACTACAGAAAGAACAGCCCTATAATTCAGAGGGCTATAGCTCAGCAAAAAAGGGAAAAGGGGAAAAAGGAAAACAGAACATCTAAGAGACCAGAGGATGCTGCCTCACCATAGACACACACGCACACACCTGACTGGGGAGGACGATTATGTAATCGGAGTACAGTGGAGTCTAGGAGAGAGAACTGGAGAAAGCACGTGGAGAGAGAGAGATTGCATTAAAATAGACTGCTACGCTATGGATTAAGCTCTCATAACTGCATACACACACAAACAAACTCATATAGCCATTAATTCTCATCATATCTTGCAGGGAGAGATAATAAAAGAAATGAAATGTGCAGACAGTGAAGTAACATCATGAACCGAATGCTTTAAGCAACTCCTCGAGTCTGAGCTGCTTAGCCGTATGATGCTGCTTAAGCCTGTTATTCCCTCCACGTTGATATGAATCATCCTGATAAAACATTTGGCACTTTTCTTGAGGTCTAAATTTAGATTATAAATGCTTTAAACTCATGCAGAATGGCCTGCCCACATGGTTCCTAAAACAAACACGAGCGGAGAAAATGCACAAAAGCCTTTCAGCCATGAAAGATGCAAAAGATACATGTGTGTGATACAGCTCGCATGAAGCCGTGTGTGTGTGTCTGTGTGTGTGCATGTGTGTGTTTGTGTGTGGGTGGGTGGATTCCCAGCCTACGCTCCCAGTGCAGATGTTTCTAAATCTGGCCATTCTCTTGGTTTTTCCCGCTCTTTCCCACACTTACCTAGTCATATTTTTGGATGCACATGCTTCTCCATGTGAATGTCGTACATCAGCTCAGTGCAACGGTCCTGAAACCTCAAGCCGCTAATTTGAAAGGCCAGAACACACCCCTAAAATGTGCACCATGAGGTCAGAAGCGCCATACTATCTAGAACACCTCCATACATCAGTTGTTCAGCAATCACCTTTTACGTAAGAGTTTCCGAGCTGAATCTAGCGCATTTTAAGATGGCTACAGAGGACAGGATTAAAGGCTGCTGGTGTCTCGAGAGTAGGATGTAAAGTGAATCCGTAAGCTTCTGTTTTAACGAATACGCCAACATGCGCATATACACTCATGTGAGATTGCGCACTTAAAGAAGGCAGAGAATCTGTCTCCAGGGCATATAACGCAAACTACATGATCTCATTTGCGACATTAAGTCCGAGTCGCTCTCTTGCACTGGCAGTACATTTCCCAGACTTCCCTTCACTGCTAACAGGTGCATCAGACCTGTTGGGAGACAAGGACTGCATGCTAATGCAAAAGGGAAATATCCTGCCATAGCCTGGCAATACAGAATGACAGTCGGTGTTCGGTGCTAACTGATGTCTTGATGCATAATTGCAGTGTGTGTGCGTACAACTGCTTTACATGTGACAATATGTTAAAATTTCCCGTCTGGTATTTCTAATATTATATGACAGAACATAAACGCAGTGCTTAATATGTTTGGTGTGACAGTGGCTTCTTATCACAAGCCAGTTACAGCTATCAATGTTTACTTTGCTTTAAAGAAAAAAAACACAGCTAATAAAGCAGTTACAGGGTTCAAACCCTTGTTTTAAAATGAAAACAGGTCATTAAAGGTACAAAGCTGTCAAAAGGTACACCTATTGACAGTATTTTAAAAGGTACACCTTTGTACCTTGTTTACCCATAAGAGATGCTTATTTGTACCATGAAGGTACACATTAGTACCTAAAGTGAATATTAGTATCTAAATGGTACATTTACTTTTTGAAAAGGTATACTGCTCCAGTCACAGCTTTTGTACCTTTTTTTCTTGGAGTGTATATGTTGTATAGAGCTAATGTACTGTGGCTTTGAGTGTCCAGCAGAAGTATTACGGAGTTTGATGCAGCACGCCATCAGTGAAGTTTTCGGGAGCAATATTGCTTCTCCGTAGAGAGAGTGAGTCAATGGTTTCAGCACTTCAGTGGGATGCATCCGAACCATTATGCTCCAACGCACAACAAAACCCCAGTCTGCAAATATGCGCTTGCAGCGCGAACACATGAAACACTAAGGCTGATGGTTTGAGCAACATGAGTTCAAGGGAATGATTCAGCTGATTCATGTTTTAGCTGATGGCAGTGATTCCGTAATCATCTTTAATGAGAATAGCCAATAGTCTGTCCTCTAGAAGGGGTCAGGTTAAGGATAAGCATGTTGGAACACCATCAGTTTAGCCAATAAGAAACAATGAAATCCTTGTCATACATGGGCATCACTGCTCTGAGGCGGAAGTAGAGTCTGTAAGTCTCTGTATAGAAATAGCTCAAATTTACAGGAAATTTACAAACCTATTGTGAGGTATGAACATTTTGCACATCTGATTTATCATTTGTGACCCTGGAGCACAAAACCAGTCATAAGTAGCATGGGTTTATTTGTAGCAATAGCCAACAATACACTGTATGGGTCAAAATTTTAGATTTTTCTTTTATGCCAAAAATCACTAGGATATTAAGTAAAGATCATGTTCCATGAAGATATATTATACATTTCCTACCGTAAATATATCGAAACTTAATTTGTGATTAGTACTATCCATTGCTAAGAACTTCCTTTGGACAACTTTAAAGGCAATTTTCCAGATTTTCAAATATTTGTATCTCAGCCAGATATTGTCCAATCCTAACAAACCATACATCAATGGAAAGCTAATTTATTCAGCCTGCAGATGATGTATACATCTCAATTTCAGAAATTTGGCTCTTATGACTGGTTTTGTGGTTCAGGGTCACATTTGAGCTGGCATAACATCCACTGAAGCTGGGTCTCTTGTTTTATTTTAAATATAACATCCACACAAAAGTTTAATCTACATTTAAAAACATAGAAGAATCATGTCTGACCAACTTCTACTGAACCAACAAAGTGTTAAAGTCACATTTGTGACAATTACATATGAACGCAAACAAACAGTGTCAGTTACGAATTGTTAGTCTGTTTCATTTGTCTATATTGATGATATTTTGGTTTACTGTTTAAAACATTGATTTTTTTTTTTTTACCATTTGGAAATAAAGTGCAAGGCATAATCATTTTAAAAAAGTATATTTGATGTATGTAAAAAATCTCAAATGTCCAGTGTACTTTACACAGTTTAGGGACAAACTGTTCTGCAAAAACGCTCAGTTGCAGGCTTTAAAACGAAATTCATTACAACACTCCCCTACTACAGTCTAGCATCTACCTGCACAAGAAGCATGTGAAATCTAATTAAAACAAACCATGCAAAGGAATGTCACAGGTTTAACACCAACTTCTCTCGTGTTTATAGCCTGAACCTTGGATGAATGGGGTGTGCAATAACAAGGCATGGCCTCAGTATATGACCATTCAGGTGCAACTAATTGCCTGGATACATTGTTTGATCGCACAATACATCCATACTCGTTCAAATGTCCCTCAATAGCAAAAAAGTGTAGTGTGCTTATAGGTCAATAGATGATAAGCGGCTTCTCTATAATAGACCAGAACTGTTAAACATTAGAGAAACCAGAGATGGTGTAGGATGGTGCAGAGGAAATGAAAGATGTGAGAGGGACCAGGACGTGGTCGCCAGGCACCTGTGATCATCGGAGCGTCTCATTGCGATCAGCTCGAGGACACACCTCAAGGAAACAAAACATTTTTCTTGCATTTTTCATTTTGTCCGGGTTTTATCCTCTCAACGTCATCGCCGGCCTAGCTTGCAAGTCTCGTCCTCGACCGCGAAATCAGCGTGCGCGCTTGACACCGATAAACTGCGCACAAACGATCATGTCTGTAAAAATGAACGAAGTGGACGCACGCGTGCTTGCGCGCGCGCATCCCGGCGCTTGACTACAGAACACAGGTCGCTCATAATCAATAAACGAGAAAACGCGGACTCACGTCAGAATCCGCCACGACGAAGCGACGCAGGCAGAAAACCGAACGGCTTTTGCGCACGCACGCTTAAATCAAAGGTGAACCGCTTCTAACGGACACCGTGACACATTTACGAGAGCGCAAAATATACCAACGTCATTGACCAGCCCGAGGCGGCGCTGAGGTGCTGGGTATCCCCCTCTGTCGTGCGCTTGCTCCATCTCTCCCGTTTCCATAGCACTGGAACGGATGGAGAGCGGCGCGAGGAGGAGAGTCCATTAGCTCGCAGCCTCCCAGGTGAATAAAACGAAGAATACTTCACGATGCCGAGATGTCACTTCGCGCTTTCTCGACCTCTGTTCTGCTCGTGTGTATCCACCATCGCCAAAAAAAGACCCCCCTACCGCCGAGATCGTCGGTAAGCCAGAAGAATGGCGCTCACGGGAGCATCACAGTTAGCCTCACCTTCATCATCCTCAGGGTCAGTCCCGGTCCTGGATCCGTGTCCTTTCCGTAGGTTCGAGCCCCCGACGCCAGCTGCAACCCTGTATCCGCGCCCCGTGAGCAACGCGCGGCGTATGGAAGAGAAACGTAAGTCCGGTTAGACGCTGTTCTGTTCTCACGGCGAGGTGGGAGTCTGCGTCTCCCTCTCTCTCGCTATGAATAGAGCTGAAGTATGGGCGGTGCTTGTGCACACTGCACACACACACACACACACACACACACACACACACTGAGGAGCCAACCATCAGTCAAAAGAAGGGGTGCTTCACTCTGCTATTGAGGAGGCTACAAACATTACATAATCAAAAAAAAGGATACAAAATAATGCTGAACTATTGGCTTTTGGGAACTCACACCATCATCATCTCAGTGCAGAAAGGAAAATGTCCAATAAGCAAAAACAAAGGAAAGACATGGACAAAATTGCACTCTGTTTTATATCATTCAGCGGCAAGCAAGCAGCACCTACAGTGCCGTGAAAAAGTTTTTGCTCCCTTCCTTTTTTTTTTTTTTTTTGCATATTTGTCACACTTAAAAGATTCAGATCATCAAACCAATTTTAATATTACGCAAAGATAGTGCAAGTAAATGCAAAATGCAGTTTTTAAATGATCATTTCATTTATTAAGGGAAAAAACATATGCAAACAATTAAAAAAACAGGAAGGGGGCAAAAACTTTTTCACACCACTGCATATATCTATTTAACACTGCCTGGCAAAATATACAAGCCCTGCAATGTGTCCCAAAAAGGTCCCATCTCAAAACATCACATGCAAAACAATCCTACCTATTGGATCTCTCTCAACAGAAATTTTTGCTATTCTAACCAGTTTTAATCAAGTTGTCAGAATTAACCCCTAGATTTGTACCTTTTTGATAGTTCTGTTTCCATGCTTTTTTAAAGTAAACTAATTTGCTTTTTAACAAACACTTCAATGGAATATGACAGAATAGAGCTATGTTTAGTTTTGGCGAAATCGGAGTACATTCAACGTGCAGGTGTTTTTTTGAATATGAATCTCAGTACTTCAGATGTGTTTAATTATGCATCATGCAGAAGTACAGTCCTGTACAGTTTTCTCTGATGAGCATTTGATTTTTTTTTAAAGGGACACCATTCATTTTGAAATAGTTTATTATTATTTAACCATCATAGGCAGGCTTCATGTAATATGATACTGAAAACATTGATCTCATGGTGAGAGGAGATAATGGAGGCCATCAGGCATAATTATATACAGCGTGTGTTTGAAAACACACAGACAACAGACACATACACAGCCACACAAGAGACCAGGAGCTAATGTGATGTTTGAATCACTGCTTCATTTCTATAGGATGATCTTGATGGCCGTGAGATCAAGTGCCTGTATAAACACTACTGTTCAAAAGTTTGGGGTCGGTGACATTTTTTTAATGTTTTGAATGTCTCTTATGCCCACCAAGCTCCATTTTTTTAAATAAAAAATACAGTAAAACAGAAATATTGTGAAATATTATTACAGTTAAAAATATATACTTTCATATTTCAAATGTAATTTATTCTTGTGATGGCAAAGCTGAATTTCCAGTCTTCAGTGTCATATGATCCTTCAGAAATCATTCTTAAATGCTGATTTGCTCCTCAAAAAAAATGTCTTATTATTATTAATGTTAAATACTGTTGTGATGCTTAATATTTATTTGAAAAACGTGGTAAATTTTTTTCAGGATACTTTAATGAAGTGTTCAAAAGAACCGCATTTTTGTACCAGTGCCTTTGATCAATTTAATGCATCCTTGCTGAATAAAAGTTTTGAACGGTAGAGCAGTAGATTTTATATAGTTTAGATATTAGATTATTGTGCAGTCTTATGTTATTTAACATCGATTGTAATTTGACTAAATTATGTTTAAATTGTAAAGTTTTAGGTTTGCAACATTTTGAGTATTTTATGTAGCTTATTAAAATGCATTTTCTTAAATATTCCATGTAGTCTCTCAATATGAGGTGCATAAATAATTATATATGTATTCATAAACTAACATTAAGGTCATATATGGATGTGATTCCCAGGGAATTCACACCCTGATAAAAATGTACGCCTTAAATACAGTGCAAGTCATTATGCATAAAAGTGTCTGCCAAATGTACAAAAAATGTTGTTTAGTACAAGCTTATTATATCACACTGCGGGAACACTGTGTCAACTTTCCATGTAAATTCCTTGTTGTAATACTTGAAAGCGAAGCCAAGACATCGATCCAATCACCGTCTCCATCACCCTTTCTTAAAATGATTAGGGGGCAAACGAACCCTGCAAGAAAGCACTAATCTCAAATTCCCGTACTGAGACAGAAAGACACACAAAACACCAATCCAGCGATGCTGTTCTGTTGTCAGAGTCTTTCTAGCTGACTTTCACATATATATTTTTGCTACATTATGCAATGAAGCAGGAGAGATGATATAACGAGCATTCTGGGGATCACAAGATCCCCTCCCCCCGACTTCCCTCTGTGTGTCCCAAGGTTTTCTGTGATGTAGCTCTTGCATACGTAAGAGTGTATTCATAGCTTAAAACCAAGGCAGGACAGTGTGCGAGTTGGGATGTCACTAATGGACTCAATGTTTGGGGGCATATGTGTGTATAACAGAGAGGGAGTGGGTGTGTATGTGTATAAAAGCTTTTGGAGACAATATGTCCTCTCCGGCTCATGCAGTTTTAACCTTTAGGCATCTTATGTATATATACACACACACATACACAGTCCTCATAAGCTTTACCTCGTTCCCAAGGCACTATTTAGAATAGTGTATTTTGTGGCATATGTGTGCGAGTCATGAATAAATCAGATGAGAAGAGAGCTCAAAGTTTCATAAATAAAACATGGTGCTATACTTGCTATTATTATGTGGAATATATAAGGGAAGTCCTCTATATCTGTAGATAAAAGGAGGTTTTGAAGTCTTGAGCTCCAGGCTAATGACATTTACACAGGTATGAATAATTAGTGATTGTTACTTCTTTTATATTTCTAAAAATACTAAAATATATGTCAAATCTAAAATGTACTATTAGATTGCTATTAAGAATCTACAATTATTTTTTAAATATAGCGCAAAGCAGTACACAAAAGTACAATGGTACTTTGTTGTAATGCATAATGATACTAAATGATCTCCATATACACTGCTTATTTACAGGGTTCTCCATGTTTTCTAAAAATACTATTAAAATTATAAACCTAAAATCTAAAAAATACTATTAAATTACTATTAAACATGTTATGTCTGAAATATAGTGCAAAACACTACACAAAACAGACTTCTGCTGTACAATTGCACTTTGATGTATTATGATACTAAATATTCTCCATATTCATACACTGTCTATCTGCATGGTTCTCCATGTTTTCTAAAAAAATATTTTACATTTTATCTTAAACCAAAAATCTAAAAATAGTATTTACGGTTTAAATTTAAATGACTTCTCTAAAATATAGTGCAAAGTGGTACATAACAGTACATGTATATACATGATCTCCATATTCATACACTGCTTATTTACTTGGTTCTCCAAGTTGTCTAAAAATACTTTTAAAATTTGAGCTTAAATCTAAAAATCATTGTTAAATTACGATTCAAATTAAATATTAAAAATTGCTTCAAAAATATAGTGCAAAGCAGTACACAAATGCTACATCAATGGCACTTTGATGTATATAATAGTACTAAATTATCTCCATAGTCATACACCGCTTATTCACATGGCTTCAATAGAATACCATGTTATTGCCATAATAGTACTGTTGTCCAAAAACATGATACTGGCACCAAGTTCAAAGGAGTTGTTTCTTGTTAATAGCTTTTCCCTCTCTTTCAAGATAAAGAAAAAGATCGCAAAAATGACAACAGTACAAGCTTGTCTATACAAACTCTCCAATACCCATGTGTGTGTGTGTGACATCTGGGATGAATACCAAGGTTGTTAAGGGAGCGAGAGAAAGAGACTGAAGGCTTATGTAATATACTCTCTCCTGAGAAAGAGACTCATCACACAGCTCCGTGCCAATTGAGGAATCATCAACATGCTCACACAAACCACGTAGAAATAGGTCATATTGAAATCTGGCCACTGTAGGGTTCTGGTTGTGGGCCAAAACTAGTGTGGATCTTGTGGAACACACCTTTCTTCAAATGACCTTACACTGTGTGCACTCGTAACCGAGTTCAGTAAACCAGCCATCTGTTTCAATTCAGACAAACAGATGATAATGTCAACATGACAGTCATTCCCAGACAAGAAAAACATTTCAAAGCGCAGAGAGGGCAATAAACAAACTCTGGATCATGTGGTTTTATTCTTCCTAATACAATATTGCCATTGCATAGCAACCCTGGGAGTGCATCCAGCAGCGATGCGATGGAATGCTGCATGCTGATTGGTTGAGGACAGAAGTAAACAGACAAGCTCATGTATATCAATCAATGTGCTGCAAATGCTGTTAAAAGTTCAACTTTGTAACTTTGTCTCCATAAATCTACATCAGCAAGTTGTGCACTGTGACTCATCTGCATGATTACGCTTGTAAGTTGTTTTATCACCAAAATTATAACAACAACATAAATGCAGTCCTGTTGTTTTAGTTGTGTTTTATGGTGAGAGTGCCGCCTAATGCAGTGGTAGACTAGCACACACAAAAATCAGAGCGGAGATGGAAGTTTTGTGTCATGTTTTCTTCAAAGTCTTGCTGTTGTGCATCACAATATTCTCTAGCAGATTTTAAACATTAAGATCTTTGTTAAGATTTTTTCAGGTGTTCCTCATTTGTAAGTCGCTTTGTGTAACAGCAAATGCTAAATAAATGTAAATGCATAAACCTGGCCAATTTTGTACTAAATTGAGCGACGGGGTGAAAATGCAAGATATTAACACACTTGTTTGAGAGGTTTTGCACACAGTGTTAATTACACTAAATTGTCATCACATGTAAACATAGTAAGGCCCACAAATGGATACATTTAAAATTAAATTAACAACAAGATGGTTTAGAATGATTAACTACTTTTTATATTTATAGTGTAAAACAATATCAAAACTATTTATTATGACATGAGCACTTTAGAATCAAAACACAGTGGTTAGACACAATCGAACCAGTAGAGGGAGCCTAAACCTGCTGTGACGCTCAAGTGATCCGTTTTCTTATGCATGTAATTTACATACTGACATGTATAGGGGGGAAAAGAAAAGAGCGAGGCGGTGAGTGTTGGAAAAGACAATATGACACATCAGTTGCTGTCGGTCACGAATTGCCTATTTATTTTGCTCTTCCAGCTCATAACAGTAAGACGTGCACGACAGCTTCAACCAGTTTCCATGACAACTACAGCCTCCTTGACTTTAGAACGGAGCGACCACCTGTCAATCAAATACAGCATCAGCTCTACTAATAAGGCAATGCATAATAGCTCAGAAAAAAATAACAAGGCACTAATGCCATTTCTCCTAAAAGTGCCACATCTAAAATGCATTTGCCCATTTAGGGTTTCACTACATAATCATAAACAGAATTACAGTGCATATGTCGGTGCATGATAAACTTACACACAGATTGCTTTGAGTCATAATATTCCATTTCTATTTTGTCAAAATAGATAGTAGTCTTAATAGGTCCAAAAGAGTTCCATTTTCTCACTAACATATTAAGATTGTGTCTGTTTTCTGCTAATCCTAATAATACTCACAGTACAAGAGCACAAGAAAAAAAAATAACATCCAAACTCATGATGGTCCCAAATACCAGAAGCTCTTCAATAAAGCAAAACATATATTTTTTAAGCACGCTCAAAAAACATCTTTTAGGGTTTACTGACACAGCATACAAAGCCAAATGATGACCTAAAGCTGCACTATTAACAAATCACCTGCCATAGGAAACTACAGCACTTCAGATGGTACTAAAAAAAACACTCACAAACGTGCAGTACTGATGTCTATTAAGGGTTTATTTCCAGTCAGTGTTGCTAATGAATGTCAAGTTTTACTGAGATGTTCTAACATTCTTTGTCTGTGTATGTACATGCTTGTGTATTAAAATACAAAACGGGGGGAAAAAATGCTTTTGGTTTTCTGATACCACTAAAAAATGGGGTATGGATCACACAAATTGTACCAAAATGCAAGAAAAAAAGAACAAAACATTAATTATAGAACAGCACTGGATTTATCTGCAAGGAAACACAAAGGTTGATTCATTCTTAAGAGCTGAATATTCACACTGGTAAAAATGGTAAGTACATTAATCTGACTTTGGCATTCTGATGAGGGTAGATGATCGTGACTGTAGTGCAACAGCACAGAACAATCACATAACGTTATTAAAGGCTTTACTGACATTCTGTCTCAAATGACTCAAGAGAGTATCCTTTGATTATCAACTACATAGATCATATTTACTGAAGACTTTAGGCCAGATCTGACTTGAATGTACGCAGAGAATATTCAAATATGTAGATATCCATACAGTTAATACAGTACATTATGTAATCCCAAACAATCACATACTGTTTAGCAGCACAAAAGGAAACAAACCAGATTCTATACTCAGATCCTTAAGCCTTCAGTAAATAAAGTACAGAAGTGTATCAAGGATGTTGGCCAAAATGCCACTGATTTAACAGGCATTTTTCCTATGAAAGTAGCATGTGCTATTCCAAAAACAAAAAATACCATATAAAAGAAATGTGTGACTAGCTAAACAAGATGTTTAAAAAGTTCCAAGATGTAAACATTAAAACCTTGAAACATACAGCATATTTTCGATAAAAAAAAAAAAAGTGTTGTATTAAAGGGGTCCTATTATGTTTTTTTACTTTTTCAACTTTAGTTAGTCTGTAATGTTGCTGTTTGAACATAAAAAAAGATCTGCAAAGTTACAAAGCTCAAAGTCCACTTCAAAAGGAGATATTTTATTTAACAGAAATCACTTTTCAAAAACTACAATGAACGACTCGTTTGGACTACAACGCATATTTTCCGGGATTTGTGATATCACAAATATCGACGAATGGGACGAGACCTGGTTGAGCTGCACTAGAGAAGGCAACGAGTGTTATCACTATGTCGGAGACACGCTAGCTTTCCCAAGGCAGACGAACTTAAGAGTGGTTACAATCATCCGGGTTTAAATCACGCTCAAATTTATTTGATTTTGACGCAATATTTACACTGAAGCTCGCAGGCGGCTATGGTAAGGGGCATGACATTTCCCGACCAGGCGCTGAGTGCTGCCAATCACAACACACA